AGGAACCGTATTTGACTTAAATATTATCTACGCGGTGACTGAAATGTCATAAAGGTTCTTCAGGTAAATGTAAATGTGTGTTTAGGTCCGCAATCGAACCTGACCTGTGTGCGTCCATATAGCCACAATCCTAAAAAGCAGTCAATAGGTCTCGAGTCTCCGACAAGTTGTGGAATTGCCTTCCTCTAAACATTGCTGATCGGGTATAAAATTGCAGGACCTTTTTCCTTTGGTTTGAGATACGCATGGCTGAAGAAGGAAATTGGGGTAGAACCAGTGATAGTAGTCTCTTTTTTCTGTCAACTGATCCCTTTAGACCACATATCGTCTTCGGTTATGCCATTGCCAAAAGCTCTAGGCTGACGGCAGAGCAAAGTAAAGACAAAGTTAAGGCAATGACTTATAGGCATATGAGACAGGGCCCGGTAACAAGGGTATACACTGTCTGATTAATAAAAGTAACAAAACTGCGGAATTCAGGGAAAGCGAACACGGAAAATGCATGTAGGGAGAACAACAACGTTGCTTGAAAGAAAATGCAACAGACAGGAGAAAATGCAGCTCAAGGTTCAAATGGCCGCAGAATGCACAGATCTTACCTCATACAAACGGGTCCCACCTATCACAAACACCTCATCGACTTTGTTATCAGAGTGCAAACTCTCACAAATAGTGAGGGCTTTGCTAAAATCTTTTGCCAAATAAACGCCTTCGGGCACTCTAGAGATTTATGATTAAAAAATAAGAAACTTGCGAATCCAGTGTGCTTGAAACGACTATATTAATCCGATTGGCCAGAGGACGAAACTTTTTGGGGATAGACTCCCATGTAAGGCGACCCTGAATGACAGCATTCAGCTTGTCTACAGGGGTAAAATTAAAATATAACTAACCAGTAGTTGCTGTGGACGTAATCTTGGTGAAGAAGTCCATGTCCTCCCTTAAAAGATAAGTATAATATTCGAAGAAAAGTATTGCGGTTCGTTTTATGCAAGAACAAATCAGTACGAAGGGAAAATTTAGACTGCCGGTACTAATGACGTTGCTCAGGTACTGTGATAGGGCCACGATTCTGTGAAAACGCCAATGACCTGACTTGCAGTCTGCCTGTTTCTCGCGATTCATCTGCTCCTGACGCTACTTAGTCTGTGCTGGATAAACCATCGAAGGATCCTGCTTCTGCGAATTTAAAAGATGTCTTATTGCCTGAGAAAGCGGTTGAAAAGAGTCACGTCTCACGTGTCACACTGGATGCTTAGATAAATTGTCGTGTTTAGTGTAGATCTGTTTTACGGATTCTTGGTTGGCGATTAAAGAACGCGGGTAATAAATTCGGCGAG